TGCACGAGCAGTGTTAGTGCACGCTGCTCCGAGAGGATTTACGGGCAGTGAGGAAGCATTTCACAGGGCACTACAGGGAGGAGTGTGAGTATTCACAGGGGGAACCCATGGGCTGCTGTGTGCTGCCCAGTCACATCCCTGGCTCCTGTGCTTGAGCCACTGAGCATCACTGCCTGCCCTCACCCAGCACCTGGCCAGGAATCCCTGCAAGCCTTAACTGCACGGCTCCTTCGCAAAGGAAAACATCACAAATACAGCTGAACATTTCTGCTAAGTTGCCTGAATCCAAATCTAGATTACATTAAAAACCAAAAACAACAGAGATAATTTTTACCATCTAATGCTTTGGTTGAAGGCAAAATCTCTCCACAAAAGGACACACAGCCAGAGAGCCTGGTCCAGATGAGCTCTCAGTCTGTCCATACAGCAGGAGCAGGTATCCAGAGGAAAATTAGGAGAACAGCTGTGTCTAAGCTGTGAGGGCCTGACCCAGCAGCCAACCAGCCTTGAAAGCCAACTGAAACAGAGGCAGTAAACAGCAAGAGACAACGCCAGCTCTAGCATCCTTCTATGTCCAGACAGGGAGGATGGTGCCGCTCAAAGACAAACATCTGGAACAGCAGTTTTGATCGGGACAATGCTCCTTGCGATCGATAATGCCAGGAGTGCAGGATGGCCAGAAGGAGCCTGGACAGCCCCTTGCTGCCTTCAGGTACCTGCATTTCCATGCAGTGAGGAGAGAAAAGGCCAGGCAAAGCCAAATTTGTCTGTTGCTCTTGAGAAAAGGAGACATCTCTCTCAATATAGTTGGTGCTTTGACGATAAGACCTTTGACAGAAACATGAATGCCATGAATACTTTGATCTCTATTCTCAGAAGCTTCAACAGCAATTATAAGTCAAGAGGGGTGAATATGGGCAGCAGCTAAAGCAATGCCCCGGAGGGTACTGATGCAGTAATTAGAGACAAAACTCAGAGCATCTCTGCCTGCACCATGCACAAGAACCAAGGAGGAGGTGGGCCGGGGGAGGCTCCATGTAAAAAAACAACTCTTATTCTTCTGAGAGACATAAAATCAACATGACTTTATACATTTCAAAGCCAAGATCTTCAAAGACAGGTAAAATGCTAATTCTGCTAATGTAGGTTTTTATGTACATGCTCTGAAAAGGTAAAGCAAATTAATCACCAGCTTTACCCCCTAATATATATCTGTGTTACAAATATATTACAGCATGTCAGATCTGAGGAGATATATCTGAACAGCGGTGGTTAAAAGAGCATTTCCCTTTTCATGCTCTAATACAGTTATTTTGATCTTTCAGTCTTCATATTTTTTGTTCTCATCAAAGGAATGATGGTGCCAGAGATTAGGATGTTATTTATTTCCCTCTCACTGTCCTACCCATGTTAATCACTTCTAGTGTCAACAGCAGCAGCGGTGCCGGCAGTGCCCGCGCGAGGCTGGTCTTGCCTCTACCCTCCTCCTGCCTCCAGCATCCCTTGGGGTCACCTCCAAAACCACCCCGACCTTCATGGAAATGCTATGCAAATGGAGGGCAGGGAGGGGATGGAGATGCCTGTGGAGCAGAGGGATGGTGTCGGGAAGGCACAGCCCTACGCCTGGCTCAGCCTTCTGCATCCCAGAGGTGGTTGGGGAAAGCATCAGGAGAACAAAACGCGGAGGGCATGGCAGCAGGGTGTTAGGCACTGCCAGACATCCCTGCTCCAAATTATGCACAGCCTGAAGGGACATGGGAAAGAGAGGACACAAAGAGGGAAGGAGGCACAGGGACAGGGGACCTGGGTGTTTCTGTGTGTCAGGACACAGTCCCACGTTCCAAGGTTGATTTCAGACACCTCCCAGTGAATTTAAATCTGTATTTCCATGGCACATCTCTGTTCAGCCTGACCTCACCCCTCTAACAGGAGCACATCCCAGGTTTAGGCACATAGGGAAACGCCTCCACACCACATTACAGGCTTGGCTTCAGGAACATGCATTGTGTCCAGGCACTGCAGCAACTTTTTCCCCCAGGTTCTCCATGCAGAGACCTAGGAATTAAACTCCTGGCTCCAAGAGACCCAGGGCTCCAGGCTGGAGCCCAGCATGACTCCCTACCCGAAACCAGACACTGTGAGGGGCAGACAAAGGTGGGAAAGGGATGCGGGATGCAGCCGAGAGCTCAGCTCCACACTTCGATCCCACTGGGGAAGCTGCTCAGCCGAAACACCTACAGCCCTGGAGATTAATGATCCTGGTTCCTCTACATTCAATTACACCTCGGTCAGGACAGGCAGGGCCCAGAAGAGTTTAGGCTGTCTTGGGAAGTGCTGAAATTTGCTCTGGGAAAACAACCCAGAGAGCCTGATAGCATACGTGTGCTCATGACACAGCCGCATCACTCCTACCCTGTAGTTAGCATTGGTTCCACTGTGCCAGCGTCCCCACGTACCACCACAGCCAGTGTTTTGGGCACACAGTGACTCCAGTTTGAGCTGTGTCAGTTCACCCCTGGCTCTTAAGGCGGCCTTGTCCCAAAGGGTTTTGCTCTCAGAGAGCAGATCCATGTGGAGTTTGCCCCTGGAGCCAGGGCTGCAGGATGGTAACTGCTGTCAACGCTTTGCTTTAAAGCACCATGAGAAATCCCAGAGTTTAAAGCCCAAGCCAAATAGCTGTTGGCCACATTTGCAGCTAGCTGAGATGAACAGAGGAATTTGTTACAAGAGGAAGATGGGGATAAGCAGGTACCTCCAGAATTATTTGCAGAGATTAAGTGAGCAGGGGCACTTCGGGCATAACTAATCCTTGCGAGCCACGGAGCAGGAGCAGACTGCAGGAGCTAATGTCTTTGAGATAGGTTAAACCAGTGACATTGCCCACCATCAGCACTGTGTTCCTTGCCTTGAAATTGCTGACACTTACAGGTTTGATGGTAACTAGACTGCATAGGGGCACCTTTGCTTTCACATCAGATCTGCTGACATGAACAAGAGTCGATTCAGATGGGCATCCAAACATTAAAGTCCTTCCCTATTTCCATAAAGTGATTGGCAGGATGCCTACTGCTAGCGGCTGGTAGCGCTGCTGATAAATGGCATCTTGATAAAAACTTTTTGCTGTTTTAAGAGAGAGGGGGAAAAAAAAGCATATTCTTATTGTAATTCCCTCAGCTGCTGACAGATGAGATGGCTCATCTCGAAAAATTAGATCCCTGGTATCTTTGCTGTCTGCAGATAGAGAAGACAGGATCCAGAGGCTGGGATGGGAGCATGGTGTGCCCTGCTCTTCTGCTCCCCTCCTGTGTACTCCCTGCAGCGGCACATCTCCCCCTTTCCTTGGCACTGAAAATGTACACCTGGGTACTCAGCAGAAAGTACCTAAAATATGGCAAAGGTTGTCCCTAGGAAAAGAAAAAGGGGTTTTCCTTTCCTGGTCTTGAACTCCTGAAGCTTTCCAAGGAGTCCTGCAGGTAAGATCAGCTGGAGGAGCTGAAATCCAGGGTCATTTCTAAGACACAGAGACCCGACCCATGGAACCAGCTCCTTCCGTAACTTAAATGTTAACAAATGCATAATTCTTAGGGAGGAAAAAAGGAACTTCACAGGTCACTTGCTGCTGATTCCCAGCTAATCCATCAGTAGATCAATGCAAGTAAAAGAGAGGGGGGAAAAAAGCTCATTTTAAGCCCTAATAATAGTATTATTCAGTTTTTGTAGTTTTTATAAGCACTTAATTCTAGGTATTTTTCTTAACTAAAGGTTTAAAAATGGCTTTTAAAATTAATCTGAATGTTATAATGGGAACTTTTTACCCCCTGAGATCAACTGTCTCTTTCTCTCCTACCTTTGCATTTCAAGTCATGCAAAACCCCATGAGCTGGGAGGCCCTGCTAGGCTCTCTGGCACTGCAGGCACTCTACGCACATTGTGGACCCAGATCTCACCTAAAAACAGATGCAGAGCAGGTAACACCTATTGCCATTTATTACTATTTATTACACCCTCTGGTGTATGAGGAATGAAGCTGCACAGGACGATGCCAGGGTGGGGAAAGCTCCTCCTGCTCCACTGCTGGGGACCAGCCAAGCAATGCCACATCAGCCCTCACCCACCACAGCCATACCTCCCATCCTTCGCAGGACACCCACAATGACGCAACGAAGAGCAAGAGCTCCATAAAGACTGAAGAGGGAACAGTCAAGATTTCTGGATGATATCCCATTCTCCTGGAATTTGCTTTAAAATTCCTTAAATAGCTTTGAAAATCTCAACAACAATAAACGGAGACTGGCAGAGCTCCCTCTGCCTCATGATATCACCCACTTCATTTTCTTATATAAAAGTCATCTAATCATTCATGATGCACCAAAGGATAACACAAAGGGTCCACAAACATTCCCTGCCCGTCCAACAGCCACAGACAAGGACAACACAGTAAAGCCTCAAAGAATCAGTTTGTTGCTGCTCAGAACAACCTGGGTGCCTACAGACAGTAACCAACCAGCAGCAGAGCTCCCTTCAACCACGCTGTGATTTATGGAGCTGCTGCCCTCCCCTTCTCCTTCCTGCCTCAGTGCTGCTTCCAGATGTGCTGCCAGCTGTGCGACACCAGCACTGAGATCAAACTGAGACGTCTGACTGCCAAGCAAGCAGCTCTGCACTCTTCCCAGCAGTGGTGCCAGAGCCCAACCTTGGCCTGCACCCAACAAAGCAGTGCCTGGTACCTGGCACTGCCCACGCTGGCAGAGCAGCACCAGTTTGTAACCACAGCTCAGAGACACACATCATCAGGAAGACACCATGATACAGGCACTGAGTGCCTCCAGAACCAAGGCACGGCAAATCAGACCAACCAGAGTCTCCAGGCTGCTCAAGGAGAGCATTAACATGCTCTCCATCCATTTCTGCTTGCTCCTGGAGACTGCTCAGGGCTCCTGAGGTTGGCTGGCCACAAGTAACACCATCATAAACGCAATTAAGAGCGGTGACATCCCTACCTTGATTCCTGTCATGGTCCGCTGGAAGTTGCTTTGAGAGCTGGGGCTTCAAACCTGCTTCACCATCGGGTGATCTGACATCGTGGAGAATTTACTGTGGAAACAAGAAACCCCACAAGTGTGAAATGTGACTGTCGATAGAGTAATCCCCAGCAATCAGACCAAATTAATTGTGTGAACATCATTGATCAAACCTCCTTAATACATTGGGTTTGTAGAAAGCTGGAATGTAATTTCATTACCAATCTGCTTCATCCTAATGAAATCTCTAATAATACTCTACTTTTGATTTCGGGTAAGAAGAGCGTGATAGAAATTTTCTGTTGCCTCTCCTGTAAGGTTTGATTTTAGTGGTTTGCTGCAATAGGAGGGATACTCGTTATATTTGGCAATCTGACATTTTATTAGCAGGGGGTTGAATATAACAACGCAGATAAAACCCCAGGAATTAGCAATGAGACAAACCCTCCACAAACAGAACTGATGTCGCAATTAAGGGGGTTAATTTTAAAGAAATGGATTTATTTCAGGAGGGGTGAGTTAGGCTTTATTTTTGTGAAGTTGTAGCTGATTTTCTGACCTAAAGTGATTTAAATAAGCCAAGTTTGCAGCTCCTTTTGTCCGTAGTTCTCACAGAACAATGCTGGAGTTCAACTGCATGCGAGAGGCACCAACATGCCCACATCTGTAATGGGTAGAGTAGGGTGAGAAGACCCCAGCCCTACCCACGTCGGCGGCAAGGCCATAACCAAGATTTCCCCCTTTGAGTCAGGTTTCAAAGGAGACCATTCAGCCTTTCAGAGTCCCTTGTGTGGGTGCAAAGAGAAGGGTTAGAGGTTAATCCAATTGGGAGTGACGGAGCATCAGGTAGGTAACTAAATGGTGGTGGTTGGGATTTGCATGAGTGGGGTGCTCCACGCGCCCAGACCCAGCCTGTGCTATCTGGGACTCCCATCCCAGGATGAAGAGGTACAGATGGGTCTCAGCACTGCCCCAGCATTCCCAATCTCCCCCTGCTCTGTTTCCAGCAGAAAAGCTCCTGGATTACAACAGAGAAAATACAAGTATTACAAAAGAGGACCAGAAGGAATCAAACAGATAGACCTAAGGCTTCAAGCTGCAATCCACCCGCCCAGGGATGCTGTGGTCACACATCCTGTGAGACTGGAGCCTCTGCAAAATACATTCACTGAGAGCAGGGGACAAGCTTGGAAAACTCAACTATTTTGTTGCTTTTTCTACTACTGAGTACTGAAAATGAGCAGCGCTTGTCTGCAGCACGCATGAGAGGGCAAACCCTGCTCTCAGAGCACCTGGAAACTACTGATGGCTTGCCTGGCAACGTGTCTGGTGAACAGAAATTGCCTCTCCCTGGCCAGAGTCCACACGCGGTGGGATCTGCATTTAAACACAGAGGATGTGCGGGATGCAGGCTGGCGGTTTGTAGGGTTTTGGGGCCCCTGCATGATGGGACGGGACGTGATGAGCAGACAAGGGAGCACAGAGCACGTGTGCTCGCTGCGGGAAGGTGATGCTCTTTGACTACTGAACTGGTGCCTATCTCTGGTATTTCCATTTTCAGCAATCTGATGTGATTTGGTGATTTATTCATGACTGGTGTAGTGAAAAATTGGAAAAGGCTAGCAGGATAGCCATGGCCTGGAGATCCAGCGTCTGATTGAGCCTACAACTGAATTACTGTCAGAGGCATCATGCAAGATTTACTCCAGCGAATGTGAAGTTGAATCTTTATATTAATAAGTGAACATGAACTATCAGAGAGACTGGCATATGTCTGCTGCCAGGCTGGTCTGGAAAGGAGCTGTCAGATCAATAGGCAACTTGAGCAGACAAAGAGAAGCTCCAGTGCCCTCTTCACACGTTAGAGGTGTCTGCAGGCATTCACCAGAGCCACACAGGGGGAGACTTTACTCACGCACAGGACAGCTAAAAAAGCTACTGCAGGCAAAGCTGTATTGTCTTTAACATGGGCTAAATTGAAAGCATACAGGGGAGGTTTGGCTTTCGTTCCATTACTGAAGCACATGTGAAAATCAAGCCCCTCATTCAGGTTACACCCCTAAAGCATGCATGCAAACACTGCACATCAAGCGCCAGTGCAACCAGAAACACCATTTCAAAGTAACACTCCCTGAGCAGCATATCTCAGGGAGATACCTTTAACACAGCCAAACCCAGGCAGCCCAAACCTACAGCAAAGGGTAGTTTTTTGCCCTGTTTCCAAAAGGCAAAGGGAAAACGTCCTGTTCAGTGCTGATGCCACCCGTGTGAGCTGCCCTCCCCTACAGCCTCGGGGCTGGTCACCTTCTAAGCTGCCCCACGCTGATTTTCACATCAAGTATAAGAAACCACTTTCCATTTGGCTTCCAACCTGCTGTAAAAGCGAGGTGAGGAAGTGTCCCTCTGCACAAGGCTCCTCTCTGAACTGGAACTTTTGGGGGAAACCAAACAAAGCAGCAATTACTCCAAAGAGAGTAAAAGAACAGGGCGGGGGGGAAGGCAGCAGCAGAGGAGGAAGGGAAGGCTGCGGTACGGCAGCATCTCGCAGCTCCTCATAATTACTGTTTCAGTTCCACATCCAGCTTCCCACCTAATTACTGCCCTGTGGTTGGTGTGCACAGGCTCCAGAGCAGCGGGGTCTCTATTTCCCTCACACTGATCGCTCCTCAGCTCCTCATTACCAACCACTCACTTTGGACCCATTAGACAGCCCTGGCCCTGCAGACCCCACAGTGGCACCCCCAGACCTGCTTGCCTGAAGCAGGCAGAGGGTCTAATCCCTTACTAGAGAGAGGGCAATGAGACTGGACCCCACAAACATGCACAACGGGCACTTCAAGGGCTCTCAGAAAAGGGGTTTCTCCCTCCCTGCTCACTCTGGACTGCTGCTATGAAAGGATCTTCTGGATCTCACCTGCTCTAGGGGAAGGTGTCCCTGGTCCTGGCAGGGGCTTGGAACTGGATGAGCTCTAAGTTCCCTTCCAACCCAAACCATTCCATGATCGATCTCCTCAGGTTTCATCAGGAAAGAACCACCACACTTAAATCTGGTCCATGATTCCTACATTATGGGAACGCTTCAGACCGGAAAGCTGAGAGCTGACTTTGGTGTTTGAACCCTTAATTTCTTAGTAACCAGGTTTAACCCATCTGAGGTTTTGCACCAGGTCTCCTCTGAACCAGGCTGGGCTCGAAGCTGTGTCGGCAAACTCAATCGTGCGAGCATCTCCTGCCATCTCTGAGCAAAAGCCTCCAGTGAAGGCAAGCCAAGGCTGACCGTGGGTTCCCATTCTGCTTTGGGGATTATAACCCTTCTCCTGCTTTCTCTGCACTTTGCTAATCATTAAACCACCGCTGTCCTTGGCGAGAAGCAGAAAATGGGCCTTCTTCTCCCAGGCAAGCAGGAGAGCTGATTTCCTTGTAATTTATGGCTTAAGCAAAGTTGCAGAGCAGCAACCAAGTATGCACGGAAGGTTGGGGTGAAAAATTAGTTACAAAGTGAATGCCCTGAAGACACTTGTACTGGACAACAATTACAGCACCTTAATTAACTGAAATTTAGTTCACCCGTCGACAGAGGCATGTCCAGTGCTACAGTTATGCCACTGCTGCTGTCTACTACTGGTTAATGAATATAAATCAGATGGTTTATAGTTAGTGAACATGTAATAGGCTTGCAATGAGTTGAATTCCAATGCAAAATGCCTGGGGATAGGAACATGCCATCCATAAAACATATATAAATAACAGATTTACATTTCTACAAGGGAAAAACCAAAGCTTCCTCCCATCTTGGTATTCTCCCAGCTTGACAGACCTGGGCTGCAGTTCTCTGCCGAGACAAGGGGTTGGTAAGTAGGGATTTAACAGTCTGGTCACCCAAAGTGTGGCTAATCAGAGGCCAAAACTCTTCCATGTCCTCGGTGTTTCCTTCCCAACCACTGAGCCCTGTCCTATAGGTTCATCATGTGCCCATTCCATGCTGCTTGGGAGCAGAGCCTGAGGGGCAGGAGCACTGAAGGTGACTCCTGAAGGTGCAGAGCACAGAGTGCAGCTCCCAGAGCCTGAGCCAGAGGCAAGTGAGGCCTTGGCTGGGGTTTGGCTCAAAGCCCTTCTGCACTCAGGCATGGGCACAGGTTGCAAGCAAGTGAATATCCCCAAGTTTCTCACATGAAAAATAACCTTTACTTTATGTCTGGCTGCAGTGGTTCACGCCTGGCCAAAGAGTCCTTGCAGCTGGGTAAGGCTTTGCCCAGCCTTTGCATCATCCAAGATGTTCAGTTCCAGGCCAGGGATGAGAGACTCGATTTTTGGGGTGCACTGCAAAGGAGCATCTCATCCCCCTGCCTACAAGGTGATGTGCTCACATCACCAGACTCATGGGGAGGTGCTGGCCAGGGGTCTCAGGGAGGTAGGAATGGCCATTGAAAAGAGACCCAATGTCAACTCCCCTCTGCTCTCAGCTCTTTACTTTTCCCTGCTGCAGAAGCAGAAATCTGTGGACTTCATTTATTGCACAAATGAGGTACAAGAGAATTATTTTCTTAATGTGCTCCTTGATGAATGTTCTCAGCTCTCCACCCCGCCAGGAAGAGGGGCTTACAATGAAAATTATTTACAAAGCATGTGCTACCCTGCAGGGATATTTATTCAGGCAGGGGATGTTGCCACCGATTTTGTTGACAAAGGCAAATCAAATTACATTTTGGGGAACATTACAACAAGCATCTTGATTTGCTATGGACATCAGCTGCCTTCTGCCAGAGCCTGGGAAGCAGCTCTGGAACAGCACCCTCCAGCTACCTGCAAAGGTGGTTATTAGTATTAGTAGATGGATAAAATGCTCTGCAAGCTGTTCCTGCACTTCTAAATACCGATTTGAGGGTTTTATTCCTTTAAAATGCAGACAAATAAATCCAGCACCCAGGTTACAGAAAGGTGATGACTGCAGGAGCAAGGTCCCAAGAGACCCTGCAAGACCCTCACTTGGGTGCTTGCACGCCTGGCCAGGCTCCTCCATAGAGCCCCAGCAGAGCAGCAAACTGCAGGACCAGAGCCTTGCCCCTGCAGAGC